TTCTGTCCACATGGGTCTCCAAGAAAGCAGCTCGAGTTACCAAAATGTGTCCCAGCAAGATGCATTCAGTTTTCCATAACCTAGTCACAGAGGTGAAATCCCCCAGGGTTGTCACATTCTGTTGGTTAGCAGAAATTACCTGAAGGCCACAAAACCAGGAGCTGAAGACCATCGGAGGCCATCTAAGAGGCTGCTCTTAGGGGCCCCTAGGATTCCACTTATATTTCTGACTCTTCTGTGTAGCAGCAATTTTACAAGTCTAAAAAAAATGCTCAAAGTTTGACTTTAAAAAAAAACTAGAAAGAGGGTTGAAAGCGATAGAACACAAACCCCAAAATGAAACAACAAAACTAGAAAGACAGCAAGTAAAACCAAAGCAAGCACAAGTAGAAAATAATGACGAACATAAAGTAGTGAAACAGGAGGTGGGCAAACTGTTTCTGAAAAACCAGTGAACTTACGAAGCCTTTAACCAGACTGGTCACAGCAAAGTGATAAAACAAACTACCAATACCAGAAAGGAGGGAACAACATTACAGCTTTTACAAACATAAAAGCTACTGAAATGAGTGAGTGAGTGACTAGATCTTACAGGTTTAGCAAGACTGCAACATGCAAGGTCTATAGACAGATATCTCTATAGTGATGAAGAATCAGAAATTGAAACTGAAACAGTAATATTTACAAGAGCATTACACAATTTAAACACTTAGAGATCAGGTTAAAGTATATGAGATTCATATACAGCAAATTCAAAACGTCGCTAGAGAAATTTAAAAACCTAAATGTATGGAGAAGATATACTATGTTCATGAGTTGAAGGACTCAATACTAAGGTGGCAATTCTCTCTTCATCAATCCATTGATTCACTGCAATACCAATAAAAACTCAGTAAGCTTTTTAATAGAAACTGTAATTCTAAAATGCATATGAAACCCCAATACTGCCAAAAAAAGGGAGAAAAAACTGTAAAATTTATATGGAAATGTGAAGGATCTAAAACAGCAAAACAAGTTTTAAAAGGAACAATAAGGTAGGGGAACCTATAGTTTCTAATTTCAAGATGCACCATAAAGCATCTTATACTTGGTACCAAGTATAAACATACAGATGGGTGGAACAGAACAGTCTGGAAACAAGACTCACAATACAGGTAGTTACAGTGTCAATAAAGGTGCCATGGAATTCAAAGAGAAAGGACAGTCCTGGTACAAATGGGTGGAGCAAGTGGATTTACATATGCAAAGGAGGGGGAGCCCATTGACTCTTACTATATACAAGAATGAATTTGAAATGATACAGATCTAAATGGAAGACTAAAACTACAAAACATCTAGAAGAAAATTTAAAGAGAAAATTACCACCTTGAAGCAGACAAAGGTTTCTAAGTTTAAAAAGAATAAAGGGAAGAACTGATATGCCAAATTTCATCAAATTTGAAACTTCTTTTTGAAAGATACTAGCAAGAACCACAAACTGGGATAAAACATGTACAGACATATCTGTTACAGGACTTATCTCCAGGATGTAAAAGAACCCTTAGAACTTGTAATAAATAAGACAACTATTTGACTAAAGTGTCAGCAAAAAAGCTGGACATTATGAAAAAATTTCACCCCAAATGACATATGAATTTCCCATTAAGCACAGGAAAGGGTGATTAAACACCATTATTCATTAGGGAATGCAAATTAAAACCACAGTGGAGTGAGTTCACACCCCTTTCACGAGTGAGGTCTGAAAGACTACAATACCAAGTGCTGGCAAAGACTGACAGAAGCAGAACTCTTTTGTACCACAGCTGGGAATGCAAAATGGTAGGAAAAGTTTGGTCTTTTCTTATAAAAGTGAACCAATGCTTACCATGTAAGCCAGCCATTCCATTCCTATGTACCAAACACATTTTCTCACAAAGACTTGTAGGTGAATGTTCAGAGCTGCTATATCTCCAATAGACCCCAAATAAAAACAGGTGTCTATCAGCTGATGAGGAGATAAACCAACTGTGGTATGACCAACAGGACATTCATTAGCATTAAAAAGGAATGAAGAATCCATCACAAAAGCATTGCACCAAGTGAAAGAAGCTGAACTACACTCAGCCTGACTCCATGTACAGCAATTCCAGAAAGGGAAAACTATGTCAATGAGGCAAGCTGAGGCAGGGAGAGGGAGGAGGTTGATGTGAGGGCCACTGGAGCACCTTTCAGAGTGATGAAAATATTCCAGGTCTCAGTTGTGGTGGTAGTCACACTACTATAGACAAACAAAGTGAAAAACTGTCCATTTGGAGTGGCCCCAAGTCCAGTGATAAACACTGGACCTCTCAGTATGGCAGACAACTCTTAAATAAATAAATCCCAACCCAAAGCAGAGAATGGCTGGGGATGTAGCTCACTAAGAATGCTTGCCTAGTATACACAAGGATCTGGGTTTGATCCCCAACACCACAAGAAAAAAAAAATAAACAAACTTCAAAGTGGAGAAAGCACCCATCATTAATGTTACTCTTAAAGTGTGATTAAAGTCAGACCCTGGGAAACACACTGGTCTTTTGCTGTCTGGATTCACTGTAGGCACACATTCTCATTCTAACCCAAAAATAACCTCTGTCCATAGGTCCTGCTGGACTCCAGGCAGGAGTGCAGGTTTGTGTGAGCTGCGTGATGTTTAGGGTTCACGTGGTTACTGTCAGCCTGGCTGGGTCAGTTTGCTATGGCTCACCCATTTATGGTAATACTTGTATTTCTGCTGTCATTTCTGAGGCTTATATGGAACAGAAACTTCTAGAACTCAGGAAAGCAACCTCTCATAGGTTGTATATATTGTATGATAATAATTTTCTAAAATTATTCAATTATTCTCATGTAATAAATATCAAAACCAAACAATGAAAAACGCTAACAGTTGGGTGAAATTGAAACTCACTACCCGTAAGGTGTGAAAAGTCCAAGAAGTCATGTGCTGGGACTTCTCAGACCACGGCACACATAACCCACCCACCACCAAACAAAATATGGGAGCAGTAGCTCCCCAACATCTGTTACCTAGTCACCTTGTTCCTAAGTAACGGGAGGTTCTGAATTCTGTCTATCACCACAACTAAGAGGTAGACCAGAAATGAAGGGTGTGCCTGAGGCCAGACAAACCAGCTTGGCTTCGTCACACAGACCTTCAGCCCCTGCTTACACAGGCACACATTGACAGAACAAGATGAACACCAAAAACCTAACTGCAGCCTGGCTTCTCCCTCACTGGGGCTTGCCACAAAAGTCGCCTTTCAATCCTGCAAACCACCAAAGGCCCTTTTCAACCCTCTGGACATGCTGCCTAGTCCACTCTGTCTGGGAGAAGCCAGTGTCCCCACCTTGCATTTCTTTTTTTCAGGGTATTTTCAAAAGTGGCACTAGCAGGTAGGGTTAGTCATTCCTGTCTTCCCCCTGGGCTAAGGCACACTCCAACAGGCATGGCGTCCTGTCCACCTCAGTGCCCTAGCATGGCAGGCACCCAAGGGATGAGAGAAAAAACAAGTGACAAACAAAAGAACCAAAGGATGATGATGTGTGCTCACACTTCACAAGTGCCAGCCCTATGAGAGGTCCCACACCTTGCCTGTGCCTGAGCCACTGGCCACCACACAAGCCTTCTTGGAATAGGGGCTCTGGCCGTAGAAAATGCAACACACAGGACTCCTAAGGAGGAGCATGCAGACAGCCCCCACTGAAACCCCAGGGGAGTGACAGGTGACAGACCCAGGGTGGGCGTGAGAGCTACTGTGGCCTGATAACAACATGCACCAGAGGTAGTTCAGGACCCCTGCTCACACTGCAATTCAACCAGAACTCTGTGCTCTCTGAGGCTGATGGCAGCGGAGACACTGCCCCCTCAGGATGGAAGGAGCTGCAACCTTTTCACATGGGACTTAACTGACTGATCACACACAGTGCTGGTTTAGCTCTCACTGACCAGGGAGTCCGTTAGGCTTGTGACCAGAAATATCCCTGAAGCAGTCAAAGCAGATGATCCTGTACGTGTGGGATTCTAGAGTAAAACTTTTTTTTTGAGGCTTGCTAGGCAGGTGCTATATCACTTGAACCTCAGCCCTAGCCCATTTTTGCTTTAGTTCGTTTTCAGACAGAATCTCATTTTTGCCCAAGCCAGCCCAAACAAGAGCATTCTACTTAGAGTCTACCACATAGCTGGGACCACAGGCATGAACACCACATCCAGCTTATTGATTTAGATGGGGTCTCACTAACTTATTGCCAAATTGGCCTCAAACCACAATCCTCCCAATCTCTGCCTCCTGAATAGCTGGGGTTACAGGCATAAGCCACCATGCCTAGCCCCAAACTGACGCTTTTAAATTGCTCAGCTCCTTTACATAGATCTCTTATAAGACTTGCAAAACTACAAATTTTAAAACTTCCTGAGACCACAAGAAAAATCAAACATTTTGACAAAACTTTTGGGGCCAAAGACATTGCCAGGGGCAATTTGGAAGGGACACTGGCATTTTCCACATACGAGGCTTGATGATGCTAGCCTGACCCTCTGTGGATTATTGTATTTTGGAGACAGCAGTCATTTGACAAAGATGGCAAGATGATGACAAAGAAACCAGCATCACACTGCACTTCCGCGGCCTTTCCGCGGCCCTAAGCACCTCATCCCTGTGGGGTCAGGCTGTGTTCGCCCTCACTCCTTAGGGAAGAACCCAAGTATGACAGAGGGTCCCTGACTCCTTGAGTAGTACAGCCAATAGCTACCACAGCCTGTCTGGGTGGCAGGAGGGGAGGCCCAGCCCACTTTGAACAGCCCGATACCACTCTGCCAAAAGCTGCAATTCAACAGAAACACCAGGAGGAGAAGGCATCAGTGACGTCAAGGGCAAAAACACAGGAGCCCGTTTCCAGGCTCTCAAGGGCACTCGGCGCCACTGCCTGCTCCACAGCCAGCCTCGCTGGATGTGCTGACCTATGCGCTGAGCCTCACTTACCAATCTGTAACAGTATAGGTGTGACCAATGCCGTTTCCATGGCGTAACAGAACTCCCTGCCAAACATCACTGCCCCGTGCATCACCCACTGGCGCACGGGGATTCTGTCTATGGATCCCTCACTGAAGGTCTCATCTTGGGTCCCAGCCTCTGGTTCTCCAGGTTTCTGTGGATCCGGCAGGGGCACAGGTAACTCCTGAACTTGCATAGATTCTGAGTCGGCATTCTGCGGAGCCATTTTCATTACCACCAAAAATAGATATATATATATATTTATTTATTCTATCTATATAAATAATACTATCATATCTCTTCAGTGATAAATTACGACGTCTTCTCGTTCTGCTTTGGGTGCGTTCCTCAGCAAGTAACACTTATAATCCTCTTTGTACAAGTAGGCGTCTCGACTTCTCACAATCGCAGGAAACATGCAGCAAAACAGAAGGGTTTTTGGTTGGACTGTAAACATATGGCTTGCTGGCTCACTGTGAGTTAGAGTTAAAAATCCATAAGTGCCACTCAGTTAATACCAGTTTCATCATCATGACTGTGGAGGCGCTGCAGTCACTTCTCTTGCTACAGAGAGGTGGGGAGGTGACACACACAAGAGGTCCTCTGTGAATCCCCATCGAGTGGCTGGAGGTCCTGCAAAAGAGGAAAGACAACGCGGCAGTCAGGGGCACACCCAGGACCTGGCCCAGTCCCCTAGACGAGAGCACTCGCGACGCCTGTCACAGTCCTGGCTCTTGCTGTGCCTGTGCTGAGGACCATACCATGACACAGGCTCACAGGAAATTTAGTCCTGGAGGTGGCCAAACATAAGGCAGCCAAGGGGAGTGGAGCAGAGAAGACAGGCAGACAGAAAAACCAAAACGCTCGCTCTCTGGCCAAGGCTAACACTGCTGCCTGTGCCTCTGAGTCATGTAAATGTTTCTACATGCTAAAGGCACTGGTGGCAACTTTCCTGGCCTGCCAGTATCATGGCAGGGGACAGAAAGGTGGAGGTGAAGGCTGGGGGGCAGCTGAAAGAGAACCACAGAGGACTCTATGGACCCCACCTGGAAAGGTGGAAAGAGTAGGGTGTAGCAGGCACAGGCACGCAGGACTCCACCGCACAGTGGGAAGTTCAAAGTCTATCCAGAGGCTGGGTCCTTGACCTTTCTAGGTTAGAAAAGCTATTGATAATCAAATAAAAGCTATAGATCCTCTCTCTGGGGAAAAAAAAAAGGGTGCATCCATTCCCAAGTAAGTACAGCCCCCCCATGTTCCTCTGAAGGTGGGCCTCCAGACACTGGTCTCCACCTGAAGCACTATAAATTTAGGGCCACAGAAATCACAGGAATGCTGCATATTCTGTTACACTAGGTCTGTGGGCTCATAGCTAAATGAAATTTCAACTACTCTGTAAAAATACTTCAAGTAATGGCCACTCAACTCAAGATGAACCTTCCATTTCTGGGGAAGGGGGCAGAAGCCTTGAGGTATGGCTTGGTCTTTCCTTCCTAGTCACATGGGCAGGGCTGGGATGGCATGGGGAGGGCAGCTCCACCCCCAAGCTTCCCAGAGGGGCTTGGCTCTCTCATCTCTGTAGTGCCTCGGCACCCTTCCTTCTCTGCTGTCACCCATTGCCTGGAGTCTCACACTGCAGTCCTCCCTTGAGAACCTTCCACGTTCCCCAGTGTCTACCATACAAACCGGCCACCGCAGTGTTCCTGCCTACAGTTTTCCTTTCAAAGACCTTGTTATAGAGCCACTTCCAATGTAGGCCAAGTCCCCAGGAAAGAACACACCACCCAGTTCCAGCATCAACTTCCTTGCTCTTTACCCATCTCCACCTTTTCTGAATCATTCCTGAGAGAAACTGTCATGCCTCTCCTTTCTATCAATCTGCCAATCTCCACCACAATAGGATGGATGATTTACTTGCTTTCTACCACCCTATTGAGAGGGGCATTCTCAGGAGAAAACACATCCCCACAGGTTCATCTAGGAAGCAGAGATCTGTTGGCTGGGCTTTGGACAGGAACAGCAGCAGTTCATTTCACAGCCTAGTTATGAACAGTAATTCCTTCAGCTCTGCTCGGTTGGCTCTTTGTCCACTGCTGCCTCCGTCCTTGGGGATTTGCACCCAAAATGAAGCACCAAACCTCAGCTCCCAAGAGTCTAAAAACTAGGCAATGGATCTCGTAAAAAGCATTCAAGAATTACTCTGCAGCATTAGTCCCCTGCCAAGGACAACTCTAATCAAGAGGGGTGCCAATGACCACGGACACTGTGCCTAACACAGCCCTGCAGCCTTCCGGTCCCGAATGACTATGGTCCCAAGGCTGTGACGCTCTGCAATAGGCTTTCCTTATAACTCCTCAAGCCCTTGATCACCTCACTAGGCCAGATGTGGCCAGCTTCCCTGAAAAGGTCACAGAATGAGTATTTTAGACTCTGTGGGTCACATACAGTTTCTGCTGCATATCCTCCTGTTTAGTTGTTTTCCCACAACCCTTTAAAAATGCAGAAACCATTCTCAGCCTGTTGGTCAGTCTAGCAAATCCAGGACTCAAAACTGATCTGGTCACCAGGTCACAAATGCCAACCTCTATCCCGGATGAGGGTCTACGGGGTCTCAGGTCTGGAATGGAGTGACTTCCTTGTAGCTACTCCAGAAGACAGCTGAGGGGATAGGGCTGCTGGGCTTCCAGTATCCACTACACTTCACGCCACTGCCCTCAGCAGAGCTGGAAACCACAGGCGTCAAGCCATGCACTGGCCGAGAGGTGACTCCTAAGGAAGGGTGGTGGGAGGGAGTGCTCCCCAGGCGCAGCCTTTCCTAGCAGCTTATTAGGAAGAGAAAGTTCAGTGGCACTTGCTGGAGCCCAGCAAACTGTAGTGGCCTCAACACAGCATGTGTGACCTCTGGCTCCAACTGCCGCAGGCTTTTGGTCACAACTACCATTAGGCCTGTGGAATTGGCTACAGATGTCTTCATTTGGGAAAAGACAATGAGTTCATACAACTCAAGCACTCAGGGGAAAAGTCAGTTGAGTGCGAGAGGAAGCAGGCTCCACACCGGAGCTCCTCTGGGATGCTTGGGATCTCCCTACTGAATGTCTAAGAACTGGTACCAGGTCAGGGTCAGATGAGCAAAGCATCTCCCACCTCAGGAGCACTGAAGGCTGGGTGTGAAGCATGCCCTCAATCAGATGCAGACATGTGGTCTCCTGGAAGTCAGGGAGGGCAGGGAGTGCCTCTCAGTGCTCAGGCACCTCTCTCTTGGCTCCCTCTGGGATGATGCTCAGTGCAGGCACAGCCTGAGGCAGAGGGAAGTCTGAAGCAGGCCTACTCCTCAGGGCTCAAACTGTAAAGCCTCACCCACCTGAGGCCATGGGTGCCCTGCAGCCTCACCCTGCCTATTGCCTTTCCCACCTGAGGCTCTTAGACAGAACAGCCCTTGTACTAAGAGGCCATCATAGTTGCTGCACTCAACAGCAAACCCTGCCCAGCTGGTCCGTGACGAAAGAAGCCCCTGTGAGCCCCACCATGTGCTTTGATCTGGCCTCAGATCTCCATCCTTGTCTCCTTCATCTGGGTTCTCCCACCCCCTCACACTGTTCCCCACCTCACAGTGGGACCTTGGCAAGGTCCAGTGAAGAGTGATGCACTGGGTGAGTGGGTGAGGGCACCCAGCTTGGCCCTGGAAAGCCATTCCCACACCAATGGCCACTTTGTGAAGCCACATCCCATAAAGTCAGCATGGAACCAGCTCAGGCCTATGAAGCCCTCATTAAGTTGTGTGGGCTACCAGTTGCTCACATGATCAGGTGTGAACACAGCTGGCCACCCTTCCTGACACAGCACACACCATGCAGTGAGCAGACTTTCCACAGGGAACTTCTTGGTCACCTGTGTTGATGCCAGTGCCTAATACCACGTGCATCTTCAGTGTGGTTTTAAGGAAAGGCTCTGGGTACACTGGTGGCACCGTGGGTTGGAGCAGCTGTAAGTACAAAACCTGCCTGTGTCTCCTCCCTCTGTGAACTCACTGTCAATCTAGGTGCTCACACCAAGGCAAGTTTTCTCAACCACCACTGGCCAGCAAAGCTGAGCCAACTTTCCAAGCAAGGATTTTTCAGTAAGACAAAGTTAACTACCAGACCAAAACTAACTCATGCTGGTATGACAAATTTCTTCACAGACATGCACAGATTTGCTCAATCTGGTTTTTAAGGCAGGCCATTGTGAAAGGCAACACCGACCTGCTCATCCTTAGGGTACCACTTGTATGGCCACGGTGCCCAAACCCTTTCTTCTGTAAAGCCCTGGGGAATGGTAATTGGGTTAGGCAAGCCACAAAACAATAGAAAGAATGTATTTTAAGCTTCGTACGTAGAAAAAAGGATACCAAGGACTTAACCAGGTACCTGAAGATCCACAGGGTGGAGTTGGGGGGGTGAGAAGGGGAAGCCAGGGGACCGCAGTGCCCGGTAGCATGCCAGCAGTTCTGACACTTCTGAGATGAGCATGGGCGGCACCACAGGGGCTTGGGGTCCGGCAATACAACCAGCTGCAGAGAGCGATTAGCGCATCCACCACTGACTCCCTGTGGAAACTGCATGGTAGTTTTTGTCCTCTGACCCACTGTCCTGTGCTCATGGAGGTAAAGGTCTCTCTTTGTCCTTTCCCAGTGGCCATCAGAGAGAGTCTCTATAGGACTTACTTACAAGTCCATCCCCAGTACCTTGAGACATGACTTCATCGTCTACAAGTTCCATCTGCACTGGGATGGAACACTCTTCTCTGCTCCCCAGCGTGCCTGTCTACTCATGGCCAGCACACCTGCTTTAAGCAGAGAGGCGCTGGGAACTTTTCAGACTCTGCAGAGGCAGTCTTATCACTGCTTCTTTCCCAGCATTTCCCTAAATACTCTTCCATGTTTAGTTGTTAAGAACTGTATGAACATGGGGACTTTAAGAGTAGCGTGACTAATTATGGGGACAAAAAGACTGCTGGTATTTTTATTAGATTCCATTAATTTTACAACCTAGCTTAGGGAAAACTGATACCCTTCAACTGTCCAGGCTACCCTCACCTGTCAAGAGAGCTCATGAAGCAGCCATATCTTTTTTGTGTGCTGCTAGGCAAGCACCCTACCACTGAGTCACATCCCAACCCTGGTTCTGCACATGTAACATTTACTCCTCACCACTGCATCTTTGCTGTACTCACAGGAAATTAGACTTTCTCTCCTCTTGCATTTTTTTTTCCTGGTGGTACTAGAGTTTGAACTCAGGGCCTCACACTTGCTAGGCAGGCACCCTTCCACTTGAGCCACTCTGCCACCCTTTTTTTATGTTAGGTATTTTTGAGATAGGGTCTTGCTTTTTGCCTAGGATAGCCTCAAACTGTGATCCTCCTGATTTCTGTCTCCTGAGTAGCCAGGATTACAGGCGTGAGCCACCGATGCCCAGCTCTTCCCTTGTATTTTCAATTGGTTAGTTTAAATACATGAAGACTAGTTAGGTGTTCATTTGCTCAGATTCCTTGAGTCCCTCCTCATCTAATTGAGGCTACTGTTTTATATTTTAATTTGTAATCTAATTCTTTTGTCTGAGAATGGATAAAAAGAATTAACAAATGAACTAACAACTGCC